GCATCTTTGGGAAAGCCAAAGTAATTAATACCCTGTCCTGTTTTCTTACTGGAGTTGGTACAACCGACCACACAACAGTGTTTGCCACCCATTGTTTTACCCCTGGAGCAAACCGGAAGTTGCTTCCTATACCACCCGGTGGGGGCGCTGCGAACATCGGGAAGCTCCTTGGTTGATTATAGAGTGTGACGTCATGGAGTCGGCGGTCCCGTTAATTTAGGTCTATGCTCTAACCGGAAATCAGACGCTGGATTATAATACAATTTTAATTAGAATAGAGTACGGACAAGAATGTCCGGAAGTTTATTTTTAATATCAGAATGTGAATCTTTACTTATTTGTTAATATATAATGTAAGACGAATACTGACACTTGATAGAATATTTTGAACAGTATATACATTATTTAAAGGCGATTCTAGACGCTCATGTACATTGTATGTATATTTATATATATGTTTATGTCATAAAATTTTGAAAATATAATAAAAAAATAAAATAAAATAAAAATCATATTTTTAAGTATTTCCCCCTAACAATTGACAATGCATTCCTGTAAATTAAATACATGAAATTGTAATAGTCATGTATCATTAGAGGCATACATTCATAGAAATATTGATGTAGTAGCTGACTGCTATAATCCGAGGGTAAAAATGTATAGAAGAACATGAACATTTTATGGAAAGTAATTTTGTTATATATAACTATAAATATTTTAGCAGACCTAGAGACAAAATACTGATATCTGAGCTATTAATGCATGATTATACTTAACCCTCTCACCCCTATGTTACTTTAGTAGACTCTACCATGCATTTATATGGATGATTCCATTATGGTCTACATTGGTGAAAGGGTTAAGATAGCTTACCCTTTGCAACATGCCAAACATCAAACCAATGGTTTACATCTGGATGTTCACATTTCATCAATTTCTTCACTTGACAATGTCTATCGGTTACCAAATCTGAAACAGGGATGCCCTCATCCTTCAAGAATTGGAAGCAGCGCTTCAGTCCTTCATGTTCCATAGCATTGGAGTTTTTCACATCATTTGACTGAAATAGTTTAATTAACATGGGGATAAAATATGGAAAAAAGCAGAATATTTCTTTTTAACATAAATAGATTATAATGTACAATAATTGAATTATTATGCAAATTTAAGGCAGCTTTGCAAGTGATTTGTATGTGATGAAAAACATTTTAAATAAATTGAAAGATGGAAATTATTATACTACATGTACATATATACAGTCTATATAACAAATTAGCACAGTTCAATCACATTAGGACTACTATATATTATCAATGTAAGTGACAAAGCACCAAAATATTGTTTATCACCATTTTTGTCTTGACCACATCAAAAGGTTAGTATTCAATTACCTGAACAAGCTGAATATCAACCACTTTGGCAGTTTCCACATCCATAAGTGTGTAGCTTCCTTTTTTTGCAGTGTGTCCCGGGGAACTGCATCTGGCATCACCACCTAGTTTCGATGACCTACCACTATTCCTTTTATCATTCAGATACACAGACTGTTGGAATTGCCAGCATGATAATGTGGTAGGTACGATGTAGGCCCTTTGGAGTTTATCATATGCTGTTAGACTTAGACCTAAAATACCTGAATGGCTCATGAAATTAAATGTTTTCACAGGGCTGTTCCCACTACAAAATATTCCACAAGCTATCACCAAGTTTCCCCAGGGCATTGAATTTGAAAATGGCTGGCTCCTCCATTTTCGGAGAAATCCACAGGCACAACTACTTGTTAAATAAACACAAGTTCCAACTGTTGTCTTGATGTGTTTCAAGTTTCTCCTCCTGCAGACAGGACATATATCAAGAACTTCAAACAAAGATTGTTCAAATACAACATACTTGTGTGCCTTGTCTGGGTCAGTTTCGTTACTGTCGAACTTATAAAAGGGTGCGACATCTCTAAATCTGAATAGTCATCTCGGTGATGGACTCCATTCAGAATCATGGCCCTGGTCTGGTGGAGAAATATCCATGTCACTTTCATCATCAGATTCACTTCCTGTATGTTTCTTCTGGGTTTGGTTGTATCTGTGACATTGTACAGATGCAGACATAGTCTGGCATGTGGCCTGTACCCCACAAGACATCACTGTAGGCTTCATTTCTGAAATCCTTGTCTGTAAACTAACATGGCGACGTTTCTGTACTGTCTAAACATTGTAATTTATTTTGATTTACATTATTATTACAACAGACATTTTCATTTCAGTAGTCTCGAGATCCAATGTATATGTACACCTGTAAGTTTTAATTGGCATTGGGCTATTTTTTAAATTTCATCCTCAACTTCAGTGAAACTATTTATAGAAAATGAACTACAGATACACAAATAACACTTCTCTATATAAAATATATAGAAAACCAAGAAAGACAATATACTTGTACTTCTCTAAAATTGCATAACAGTATTCTGTTATAGTTAACTGCATAATGAATCTACATGTATTAGCAAATATTTAGAAACATACATATGATCGAGTAATTATAAGGCCTTCATAGAAATATTTATGCTGAATATGTACTCAGAAAATATTGAAATTTATTCATATACTTACTGTTAGGTTGTAAGATGTTTGACAGCCAACATTGTATGTCTCTAGAGGATCATTTGGTCGAACACATTTGTCTGCTGTTTTGGTCAGATCCAATGCTGATGTCTGGGTTTCCATATGCACTTGGTTAGGATGGTACTGTGCATGTGTACTTGGAGTATACGTATTTGTCTGGCTATTGTGACTTGTTATGTCTGGTAGTAACTACAAACGAAAATAATAATAAAATAAACAAATGGAACGTAATTTCCACCAGAAAATATCACCAACTTTAATACGAGACATGTAATCATGTATCCTATATAATATACATGCGAACTCATTACAATGTAAAATAACAATTAAAAAAAAAGGAGGGAACTTAAAACGAAGGTTCTACTTCATAAGCATGTAAATGCACAGGCATCTTTTTGCAATATCATTTAAACAATACAATTATAAATACAATCGATGCAATATCATTTATTTTTTACCTCGAGACATCGTCTTGTCCGATTTTTGTTTGTGGTTGATAAATGGGCGTTGACGAGATAACTGTCTACTGACCGGCCTGGAGTGTTTTTCCGAATGTTGGCTACTGAAAAATGTTGGCTACTGAAAAAAAAATTAAAAAATTGTTGAAATCGCTCCTGGTTTTAATGATTTTCGCCCTGGTGTGTCTGGAATGGTCCTTTGAAGAAAAATTGCCTCTCTTCAGTTTCATTACCCATATTTAACGCAGTTTTCTATCTCGCGAAAAAGCAAATAGACTTTTCTGTCCGCGATTACTGCTCTTATTACAGTTGATGGCCGTACATTGTGCCATTTTGACGTTTGTTTGTTTACATCCTCTGACAAAAGGCGCAGAATCTATGCCACGAAATTAGCGCTTGTCGCATATGACGTCACAGTCAAGGGAGATAAATTGGTCAATACTTCGCGATTTATGAGATCGACTTGAAAACAGCATTTTTGAAAAAGGCAATAAACTTACCTAACCATCAAAACATGTGCAAAATGCACATATTTCATTTTTAGTAATAATTTTATGACACTCTGGCACAATCGGCAATTATTTTTTGGTTTTGGATTTCGTTTACCTTTAAGAGAGATTATTGAAATCACAAATATTTGTAAACAAATAGATTTTCAAAATCCGGAGCAGCAGTGAAGGATATCAAATAATTATATATTGAATTCACAGATGGAAATTACGTGTACGTTGATGTGATTTACTTTGTCAGAAAGAGAAATGGACGAAATTATTAAACTGTAACATAATTATTACTTTGCTAAACCAGAAATACAGATTGCAAGGCGCTAATAACAACAGGAGAGGGCAAGTTCTACAGCAACGGGTTCGACCTGGACTGGATGATGTCTCAGGACAGCGAAACGGTTGTCAGGTTCGACAAGGCAATCGAGAATACCATGTGGAGGGTATTGCATTTCCCCCTTCCGACTGTAGCAGCAATAAACGGTAAATTTACATTAATTGACATAACACCCTTCCCACTATAGGGGTTAAACAAAAAAATGATATTTTATATTATATTAACTCATTCGCTCCTGAAATTTCATAATAAACTATTCTAACCATTGAATTGGAAGAGTTCAAATGTGTCATTAGGTTAATCCGTTAAAAGACAATATGACATCAAACTTTATAAACTGTAGAAATCATATTTGACCAAATCCCATCCCAACATTTCTTCGCCATAAGGTTATAAGGATTATACATCAAGCATTCCCTCTTCGCCAGAAGGTTATAAGGATTAGACATCAAGCATCCCCTCGTCGCCATAAGGTTATAAGGATTATACATCAAGCATCCCCTTTTCACTAGAAGGTTATAAGGATAAGACATCAAGCATCCCCTTTTCACCAGAAGGTTATAAGGATTAGACATCAAGCATCCCCTTTTCACCAGAAGGTTATAAGGATTAGACATCAAGCATCCTCTTTTCACCAGAAGGTTATAAGGATTAAACATCAAGCATCCCCTTTTCACCAGAAGGTTATAAGGATTAGACATCAAGCATCCCCTCTTCGCCAGAAGGCTATAAGGATTAGACATCAAGCATCCCCCCTTCGCCAGAAGGTTATAAGGATTAGACATCAAGCATCCCCTTTTCACCAGAAGGCTATAAGGATTAGAAATCAAGCATCCCCCTCTTCGCCAGAAGGTTATAAGGATTAGACATCAAGCATCCCCTTTTCACCAGAAGGTTATAAGGATTAGAAATCAAGCATCCCCTCTTCAACATAAGATTATAAGGACAAGACATCAAGCATCCCCTCTTCGCCATCAGGTTATAAGGATTAGACATCAAACATCCCCTCTTCACCAGAAGGTTATAAGGATTAGACATCAAGCATCCCCTCTTCGCCATAAGGTTATAAGGATTAGACATCAAGCATCCCCCTTTTCGCCAGATGGTTATAAGGATTAGACATCAAGCTTCCCCTCTTCACCATAAGGTTAAAAGGATTAGAAATCAAACATCCCCTTTTCACCAGAAGGATATAAAGATTACACATCAAGCATCCCCTCTTTATCATAAGGTTATAAGTATTAGACATCAAGCATCCCCTTTCCACCAGAAGGTTATAAGGATTAGAAATCAAGCATCCCCCTCTTCGCCAGAAGGTTATAAGGGTTAGACATCAAGCTTCCCCTCTTCACCATAGGGTTAAAAGGATTAGAAATCAAACATCCCCTTTTCACCAGAAGGTTAAAAGGATTAGACATCAAGCATCCCCTTTTCACCAGAAGGTTATAAAGATTAGACATCAAGCATCCCCTCTTCCCCATAAGGTTATAAGGATTAGACATCAAGCATCCCCTTTCCACCAGTAGGTTATAAGGATTAGACATCAAGCATCTCTTTTTCACCGGAAGGTTATCAGGATAAGACATCAAGTATCCCATTTTCACCAGAAGGTTAAAAGGATTAGAAATCAAACATCCCCTTTTCACCAGAGGGTTATAGGGATTAAACATCAAACATCCCCTCCTCGCCAGAAGGTTATAACGATTAGACATCAAGCATCCCCTTTTCACCAGAAGGTAATAAGGATTAGACATCAAGCATCTCCTCCTCGCTATAAGGTTATAAGGATTAAACATCAAGCATCCCCTTTTCACCAGAAGGTTAAAAGGATTAGACATCAAGCATCCCCTTTTCACTAGAAGTTTATAAGGATTAGACATCAAGTATCCCCTCTTCACCAGAAGGTTATAAGGATTAGACATCAAACATCTCTTTTTCACCATAAGGTTATAAGGATTAGACATCAATCATCCCCTTCTCACCAGAAGGTTATAAGGATTAGACATCAAGTATCCCCTCTTCACCATAAGGTTATAAAAAATAAGACATCAATCATCCCCTCTTCACCAGAAGGTTATAAGGATTAGACATCAAGTTTCCCCTCTTCAGCATAAGGTTAAAAGGATTAGAAATCAAACATCCCCTTTTCACCAGAAGGTTATGGGGATTAAACATGAAACATATTCTCCTCGCCAGAAGGTTATAACGATTAGACATCAAGCATCCCCTTTTCACCAGAAGGTTTTTAGGATTAGACATCAAGTATCCCCCTTCATCAGAAGGTTATAAGGATTAGAGATCAAGCATCCCCTTTTCACCAGAAGGATATACGGATTAGACATCAAACATCCCATTTTCACCATAAGTTTATAAGGATTAGACATCAAGTATCCCCCTTCATCAGAAGGTTATAAGGATTAGAGATCAAGCATCCCCTTTTCACCAGAAGGTAATAAGGATTAGACATCAAGCATCCCCTCATCACCAGAAAGTTATAAGGATTAGACATCAAGCTTCCCCTCTTCACCATAAGGTTAAAAGGATTAGAAAGCAAACATCCCCTTTTCACCAGAGAGTTATAGAGTTTAAACATCAAACATACCCTCTTCGCCAGAAGGTTATAAGGATTAGACATCAAACATCTCTTTTTCACCATAAGGTTATAAGGATTAGTCATCAAGCATCCCCTTTTCACCAGAAGGTTTTTAGGATTAGACATCAAGTATCCCCTCTTCACCGGAAGGTTATAAGGAAAAGACATCGAGAATCCCCTTTTCACCAGAAGGTTATACGGATTAGACATCAAACATCCCATTTTCACCATAAGTTTATAAGGATTAGACATCAAGCATCCCCTTTTCACCAGAAGGTTTTTAGGATTAGACATCAAGTATCCCCCTTCATCAGAAGGTTATAAGGATTAGAGATCAAGCATCCCCTTTTCACCAGAAGGTAATAAGGATTAGACATCAAGCATCTCCTCCTCGCTATAAGGTTATAAGGATTAAACATCAAGCATCCACTTTTCACCAGAAGGTTAAAAGGATTAGACATCAAGCATCCCCCCTTCGCCAGAAGGTTATAAGGATTAAACATCAAGCATCCACTTTTCACCAGAAGGTTAAAAGGATTAGACATCAAGCATCCCCTCCTCGCTATAAGGTTATAAGGATTAAACATCAAGCATCCACTTTTCACCAGAAGGTTAAAAGGATTAGACATCAAGCATCCCCTCCTCGCTATAAGGTTATAAGGATTAAACATCAAGCATCCACTTTTCACCAGAAGGTTAAAAGGATTAGACATCAAGCATCCCCTCTTCACAATAAGGTTATAAGGATGAGACATCAAACATCCCGTTTTCACCAGAAGGTTATCAGGATAAGACATCGAGTATCCCATTTTCACCAGAGGGTTATAAGGATTAGACATCAAGTTTCCCCTCTTCAGCATAAGGTTAAAAGGATTAGAAATCAAACATCCCCTTTTCACCAGAAGGTTATCAGGATTAGACATCAAACATCCCCTTTTCACCAGAAGTTTATAAGGATTAGACATCAAGTATCTTCTCTTCACCAGAAGGTTATAAGGATTCGACATCAAGTATCCCCTCTTCACCGGAAGGTTATAAGGAAAAGACATCGAGAATCCCCTTTTCACCAGAAGGTTATCAAGCATCCTCTTTTCACCAGAAGGTTATAAGGATTCGACATCAAGTATCCCCTCTTCACCGGAAGGTTATAAGGAAAAGACATCGAGAATCCCCTTTTCACCAGAAGGTTAAAAGGATTAGACATCAAGCATCCCCTCCTCGCTATAAGGTTATAAGGATTAAACATCAAGCATCCACTTTTCACCAGAAGGTTAAAAGGATTAGACATCAAGCATCCCCTCCTCACAAGAAAGTTATAAGGATTAGACATCAAGCATCCCCTCCTCACCAAAAGGTTATAAGGATTAGACATCAAGTTTCCCCTCTTCAGCATAAGGTTAAAAGGATTAGAAATCAAACATCCCCTTTTCACCAGAGAGTTATAGAGATTAAACATCAAACATACCCTCTTCGCCAGAAGGTTATAAGGATTAAACATCAAGCATCCACTTTTCACCAGAAGGTTAAAAGGATTAGACATCAAGCATCCACTTTTCAACAGAAGGTTATAAGGATTAGACATCAAGCAT